GTAGCACCTCCTCAAGCCCAGCAGCCTCCGCTGGCAGACGCGGCCATCCCCGGCAGACGCGGTGTTCCCCAGCAGAGGAGCAGCACCCAGGGAACTCCTCCTTCCCCGCACCCAGAGAAGCGCAGCCGCCCCAGCCGGAGCCCGGACGTTCCCCAGGCACCACCAGGCATGCCAGCGACAGAAAGTGAATGATGCGCATCAAAATTCAACTTACTCAGGTTCTTTGCTCCATAATAATCGTCACTTAACCCAGGGAAGTCCTGATTTCACAGACAGCGAGAAGGGGGAGAGGGGGAGAGAAGAGAGCGCGGGAGAGGGCAGTCAGAGGGATGGGGGAGACAGAGCCAGACCAGCATTAGTGACAGGAGTGCAGAATGGCCCAGAGCTGCAACTGCAAGTGAGGTTAAATGTTTTCAGACCTGACACCATCAGCCCATTGCCAACATCTTGCCTTGTGTGGCCAGACCCCCCCACCCCGAACTCATCCTCTCTGCCAAAGAGCCCCCAAGGGCCACCCCGGGGCCTGGGGAGGGACAGGGCGGCCACTGCAGCATCTGCAGGCACCGAGCAATCGCAGCCCCGAGCTGCTGGCAAGCGGGGCCGAGGCGTTTCTCCTGGCGGGGTGTACAGGCAGGGTGCAGCCCTGGGACAGCCCGGCCGCTCTGGGGGCAGACGCAGCACAGCCAGTCCTCTACCGCGCGGCAGGAGGGCACTTTTTTCCCCACCTGCATGTGTTAGCTGCCCAGGCCCCAGTGCTTGCTTGGGATATGGAAACATGGGGGAAGGAACCCCCACTGCAAGCTGGGATGACGGTGGCCGAGCACAGGGAGGGAGGGAGCTGCGGGTCTGTGACACCGGCTGGCGAAGAGCCTTGCCTGCCCCATCCCCGTGCCGTATGTCACTGCACTGCAGGACTGGCTGAGAGCAGCATCCCAGCGAGCCCTCAGCTCCAAGCACGGGGCTGACTGGAGCCCAGCCACGTCCACGCACTACGAGAGATACCTGGACACACAGATTTAACCTTCACCGCAGGCCAGAGCCTCACCTGGCTGCTAGGCTCACTGGAAGCCAGCGCCAGCCTGGTACGGGCAGCAGAGGGATGCGGGCAGCCCCTGGAGCAGCCCAGCATCAACCTCCTGCCTCTGCATCACACCCAAGAGAGCCACTGGAGGGGACGCACTCGCTGCGCTGGTATGGGGCAGAGACACCGCTCCGCCTTGCCCACCTCCTCTGCCCTGAGGTGTGGGGACCGAAGCTCTCTGGATGCTTCCCAAAGGAGTGGATGCAGTTTAGCATCGGGAAGGAGGAAGGGCTGGGCTCGGTGAGCAGCTCCAGTGCTGGCCACGTCAGGATATGGGGCAGTGAACTGAATGCCCTGCCTTCGCTGGGAGCCCCCAGGTGCTGCCAGGTGAGAGCTGGGGATGGGGATTCCCCCCAGACCCGCTGGTGCAGCGGACTACCAGAGATGTGCCTCAGTCACGGGTGGGCAGCTCCTCCAGCAGCGAGGGGGTTAACCCACAGGAAGGCCTCTCAGATGGGAATATGTAGCTGGGAGTCACTCCTAGGGGAGATGGGGAGCACAGCCGGGACCACCCCAACCCCTTGGCCCTGACAGGGACAGGAGCGGCTCTGCAGGAGGCGGCCAGTCCCTTGCTCGGAGGGGAGCAGCCCTTGGCAGGCGGAGGGAGGGAGCAGAGCCCGCAGCAGAAGGGGGAGAGCAGGGGGAGGCAGAGCAGGGGGTCAGGCGGGTGTAAAGTTGATGAAAGGATGAAGACATTCAACATGAGAGAGAGAGAAAGAGCACCAGCCTGCAGCCGCTGCTTTCGTGTCAAGCTCCGGCTTCTCCCTAGCTGCTGGCATGACTGGAGCACAGACCCAAACACGGGCAGACACCAGGACCCCTGGCTATGGAAATGTGCTGAATCTCTCCCCCAAAGGCAGGGGGCCTGAGGATGGCATGCTCGCCCTCTCTGGCCAGCTGCTACTTACGTTCCTGTCCGCTGCTCTCCTGGGCCAGGTTCTCTTTGCTCTTGTAAAATGGAAACTTTCGAGAGAGGCGGAAACTCTTTTTACGTTTCGTTTTGATCGACTGAAGAACATGGAGATGGAAGGGAGGACAGAAAAAACAATGGTGTTTAACGCGTGCAGGAAAACTAAAAATGAAGAGACAATGAGGAGCTGTGCCAGGGCAGTCACCCTCAAATGAAATCATGGAGATTACATGAAAACTGTAATGCAGGAAAAAAATTAAGCATGGAGAAAAACATATGGTAGAGATGGCGGGAAGCTGACGGGGCAATCGGTAGCTCTGCAGCGGTAGCCAGGCTGTTCTCCCTTCCTTGTCAGCTTGCTAAGTGCCCCGGGTGAGGGCGGCCACCCTCACCTGCATGAGCTGCCTGCAGTCAGCTCCCAGCCACAAGCTGTGGTGTGACGAGCTCTGCTCCCCCACCACTCCAACCAGGGCTCCTTCCCCAGCGCCTTCGCACCATCCTGGGCTGCTCTGCTCACCCCCAGCAGAGTCACACAGGATTCGTGCCGAGCAGATGCAGGCCTGGGGAGGTCCAGTTGCGCTGTTCTCTGCTTTGGGATTGCTGCAGCTGCCCCACCGGGAGCTGCCCCTGCTGGGACTCATCCTGCCCCTGCTAGTTACTGGCTCCGGGCACCTGCTGAGCCCCAGTTCGGCACTTACCCTGTTGGACTCAATCATGCCAGTCCTGGCGTGGAACTTCACCGTTTTCAACCGTGCTCTCTCCTTCTTTTCCACCCTGATTGGAAGTTAAAGGGGAAAAAGATCTGTTAGTCCCATACGCATGCCCTCCATGCTGCCTGCTTGGCTCCCCAGGTGGCTTCGTGCACCCTCGGGTGGTGGCCCCAGTGGCAAAGGGCAGCTCCTTCCCAGAGAGGGATGGAAGTGGAGCCGCCTGCCCAGCGTCTGGCCATGGCCAGCGTCTGCAGGAGCGGGGACAAGTCATCCTTCCCAGCAGGGAAGACCTGAAGGCAGTGGCAGCCAGCTCCTCTGCTCCCTGCGGCTTCCCATCTCATGGGAGCTGGGCAGGTTGTCAGAGGACACAAGGAGCAACCCATGGTCACTGCTGTGATTCTACGCTCACTCAGAGCCCCAGACTGGCTAACTCCAGCTCATGGGGACACACAGGGGGCTGTGCGCTCCCCTCCTCACCTAGCTTTGCAGAACATCTCCCCAGGGAGACCTGCACGCAGCTCCAGCTTCCAACCAGGGCGCCCCTCATGCTGCGCAGCCAGGGAGGGGCAGGTGGGCTGGGACCACAAGGACAGCCCCACCCCGAGCAGACCCCCGTGACTGCGGGGCTCACGGAGCCAGGGGAGCTCCAGGAGGCTCTTTCTGACGGACGCTCACCTTTTCTTGCTAGGGATGACCCCGATCTGCTCACTCTCGCCATGGGGCGTGACAAGCCTGGCTTGCCACCACTCATCGTCGGAGGCGTTGATGACATGCAGGATGTCCCCGTACGAGAAACTGAGCCCCTGGCTGGGCAAGCAACTGTCCCGGGTCCGGTCGTAGTCAAAGAGGGCTCTGCAGAGGAGCAGAGAGAGGAGCGATGCCTTCCCTGAGCACAGCCAGGCAGTGAGGGCAGCAGCACAGCCGACCTGCCGGGGCACTGCCACCTTCATACCTTAAAGGATTTAAACCCAAACTTCGGGGAAATCCCCTGCCGAGGTGAGCAGCACTGCGCGGCCACCAGCACACCCCTGCTGCCAGCGGGCTCAGCACAAGCCCTGAAACGTGCAAGGCACAAATAACAGCGCTGGACCAAACCGACTCGCTCTTGACCTTCGCTGCGAGAGGCACACAAACCGCAGACGCATCGAAGGCAGCTGTGGTTAGCGAGCAGGCTAAGCTCACGTGGCCTCAAGAAAGGAGCAGTGTGCAGGAGGGCAGCAGGGAGCCGGGGCGCAGAGCTGCTCCCCACCACCCCTCCCCAGCGGCTGCGGGGCCAAGGAGCGGGACGGGGAACGTCAGACCCCATGGGTGGGTGGCCGCACAGGCAGAGACCGCGGGCGCTTTGAGCACGCGCTTTAGTTACGTACAGCCTGTGAATTATGAACGCATCTGAGGGGGTGTGTATATATATATATACACACACATATATATATGTATCTCTATATATATATCTGCTTCCACAACTGATCCTTTTCAGAAGCCTAAATACTTCCCCTGAGAACAGTTTATTTAGTTTAAAATTAACTACGATATTAAACTAACTAGCTACAGAAAAGATTATTGTGGGTTCCCCCCCCCCCTTTTTTTTTTTTTTTTTTTAAACTAGAGGAGCACTAATACCCTTCCTGTGCACATTTCATCGTACGCAGCACTGCAGCCCATACCCACAAGCTGCTCTCGGTGGCCTCACGTGCAACTCATTCTACTAATGTCAGGTCTCAAACCGCGTCTGCTTTGACGTATCCACTTTGCAACAAACCAAACCAAGGGAATGGTCCCTAAAAGCCCCGCTGCTGGCAGCACAAGCCCCATGTTTGCTCCTGGGACATGGGCCCTGCTCGCCCCCCCGCCCGACACCAGCGCAGGCACCACAAACACTGGCTGCCTGCTGGTTTAATCCTGGCCCTAACGAGCCTTCCTCCAGCGGGAGAGACGCGCTCAGCCCTGCTCATTACCTGCTTCCGCCGCAGGGACTCCTAAGGGGGCCTGAAAGCACGTCTGAAAGCACAGGGTGAAATGGGAGGGCTGAGGGAGGGGGTGGCAGCTCCCCATGGAGCAGCAGAGCCGGGAGGACACTCCTCCAGCCAGATCCCTGCTTCGGTGCTGCCAGGGGAGCAGCGGGTCACGAAACCTTTCGAGTCACTTGGGACTGGGCTAAGGCAGCCGATGACGAACAGGCTGCCCCGTAGCTCGAGGAGGGCTCTTTGGGACAAGACCCAGTGCAGCCCTACGTGTCCCAGTACACCCAGCCACCAGCCCGCTCCCCCGTTCCCAGCTTGCTCAGGCACCTCTCGTGCTGGGTTCCCTCCGCACCCAAGTGCAGTCACCCCAGCACGCTTTGGCCAGAGGCAAGCAGCCCTCACAGGCAGCTCCTGGCCAAAAGATAAGGCTGATGCGCGGCCAGCAGGCCCCTGCAAGGCCAGTGCCGAGCCAAGGCCCCCAGGAACTGGTCAGGCCGGTTCCCGAACCCCGACAGGCTGCGGGGTGCCCTGCCTACACCCGCCCCCTGCCCTGCAGAGCAGCGCTGGCCCCGTGTTGGCTCCCTGCCTCCTCCAGCAGCAGCCACTGCCATCCCCAGGCGGGCAGAGCAGGATCCGCGCAAAGGCCGGACACCGGCGAAGCAGAGGCACGAGGCATTTGCTTCCCCAAGGCGCGATGCTCCTGGAGACCAACCCCTGGCCATGTTAGTGGCCGGGTCCTCCCCGGGGCGCAGAGGCCAGACGGCAGCATGGCCACTTGGCTCTGCCCCCGGCACAGGCGACCAAGAGAGCAGATGGTTTGGCTGGAGGACAGGGGAGCAGCGCCAGGGACGCGGCACGGCATCCTCCCGGTGCCCAGGCACAATGCCCACCCGACCCCCATCACCGCCCAGCACGGCCCCAGTGCCGGTGGACTTTGCCCTGCGGCAGCGTGTGGACCTGCCTCGCCCCTGCCTATGCTGCACGGCTGCAGCTCCAAAACACATGGCGAGCGTCAGCACCCCCAAAATGGCTCTGGCAGCCACTCGGGTGCCCGGCTCCGTCCCTGTCGACAGGATGTGGGGCACAACGCAGCCTCACGGGGCTGACTCAAGCAGTTAGGTAGCAAGTCCTGTAATTGATGTCCTGTCCGCAGCGCAGCAGCTTGGCTGGTTTCGGGTAAACTGTGCTCGAAACTAACCCCGCCCAGAAGGGCTGGGGCAGCCCGGGCGGCTCTTGCCAGCAGGTTTGCGGGGTGTGCTGCCGCCAGAGCCGGGATGTGTTGGGAAGGGCCGTGACAGGGGAAAGCTCTCCCCTGGGATCACCCTCTCAGCAAGGCGCTGCCCAGCTCCTGCCTGAAGCCAGCTGGGTGTATGTAAGGGGACACAGTGCTGTGGAGGCCACCAAAGCCATGCAGAGGGACGCGTCAAGAGAGATGTGAGATGCTACAAGCAGTCCGGAGCACTCTGGCTCGCAGGCATGCCCTGATGCGCGCAGCACTTATCAAGGCAGGGAACAGGAGACTCACAGGCTCAACTCAGTCTGGACCCAGACTAAACCCTGCTCCACTCACGAGGGTGGCCATGGGACAGCAGGGGAGTGAGGACAGGACTAGCAAGATGATGTTTATGCAACATGGCATCCAGCTCGTTGCACACCCCCACCACAGAGCCCCGAGATGCTAAATCAAGCAAGATGCCTGCAGAGCCTCACGGGAAGGCGTGAGCTGCAGGAACCCGGAGCTGCAGCTCTCCCCTCCTGCCAGGCCGGGCTTGCACCGGGTCCAGCAACAGCCTGAAACCCCTCTGCACGGAGCCGCCACGCAGTAAGAGATGCAGGCTGAGGCTGATGCACCCTCGACCCCTGTCACCCCTCCCATGGGGACGGAGAAGCATTCCCTGCTTCTACCAGCAACAGGCTGTGCAGGACAAGGATTTCCAGGATTATTTTAATTACCAAGTTAAAATTACTCATCAGCTGTCACCCCACTCACGCTGTGGCAGGCAGGAGGTGGCAGGAGGCAGGCAGCGAGCAGGGGCTGCCCTGGCGATGAAGGAGTTGCAGCAGTTAGAACTGCATGGCTGCTTAACCCCTGCCTGCCCCACGCCTGGCTCTGGACCAAAAGCGCATCGAGGGCTCAGAGCAATAATCCTCCTAACAGCTCATCTCCCCTCCAGGCAGATCTTGCCACAGGAATGGCAGGAGGAGGACGGGGAGAGCCTGTTAGCAGGGAATGGATTGAAGAGAGCAACCTGAATGCTGCCTCGAGCAGAAACAGTGCTGGATGCCTGGCATTTCCCCGTTTCCCAGTGGTCCACAGTGGCCAGCAGCTGCCCAGGGCTCTGCCGAGACACCAGCGCTTTCCAAAGCGGAGCAGGGCTCAGAAGAGGCACCGGAGTGTCAAACGCCCAGCCTGGGCGAACCAGCATATAAGCACCGCTCTCCCTGCGGCACTTTCCTGACACAGCTCTCATGCTTGCTTCCCAGGCCTCCAAAACACCCCCCTGCAGAGGTGCTGCGTGGCTCAGGCTGAACCGTCCCAGCCTGAACCATCCCATCCCATGGGGATCTACCCATCCCACCAGGCTCCGGCTGCCTGGAGCACAGGGGCAGGCAGGGAGGGGGCATTGAGCCTTACCGGACATAGAGAGATCTCTTCTCACTTGTCCGGAGCGAGCCGGAACCGGAGCTCATGCTGCTGTTCATCATCTGCTCTCTCAGGTCGTGGATCTTTGACTCAAAGCGGCTGTACTCTGCGGGGAGAGAGGTGGTCAGTGCAGGCAGGAGCTGCCCCTGAGTGGGGCGCAGCCAGTAAGCGCCGAGAGAGGTGATGCCTGTGGGGCATCTCGTCTGTGAGCCCATCCATCCTCACACACGAGGGAAGATGAAGCCAAAGAGGCTGCAGCACCCTGCTGGGGCCCAGACAGGGCATCCAGAGCAGGCAGGGCACCGGCTGCTCCCAACCCCACCCCAAAGGCCCTCACAGGCAGCTCAGGGAAGGGCTGCTGAGACCTCCA